TTACCTTCGCTTTGTGAAATCCTCAGGATAGGGACCTATCTAGATCTGTTCTGTGAGCCTTTGGGAAGGGGTCTACTGAGAAGATTTTCAGACTGTACATTCTGTTTGATATGTTTAATAGCTTCAAACTCGTTTCCATATGTGAAGAAGAGAATTCCAGTAAATAACGAACAACAGGTTAATCTCAAGCCAATTGATGTTGCTACTGATGAGATAAAAGACAAGACAGCAGAGCTGCAAAAACTCTGCTCTTCCAATGAGGTTGACATGATCCAGCTGCAGCTCAAGTTGCAGGGTTGTGTTTCCGTACAGGTAAGGCCCGTCATTAGCACAGCACCTTGAAATCATTACTCTGTTGACAGAACAGCTTATTTACTTTCCAGAAATCATTAACTAGCTCATTGGAGCACTGCAGGCCAGATCCTGCCAACAATACCTACTGTAGTACTTACCACTGTAAGTCAATGGGACTACTCATGGGAGTAAACACTATGCCCAGTTGTGTTTCGCAGAATCAGGCCCATATGTATTTGCCCATTGTTTGTTTGTGGCAGGTGTTGGTTATATTTAACAGCTCTGAAAGACTGACCTGGAAAAGACAGACAGAAACAGCTTCATGAATCCTGACTTGTCCCCAGTCTGAGACATGGCCCATGTCAAGAGGTCACTCCCTAAAAAGGAAATGAAGGAATATCAATTTCTTCATTTTTCTTTTTGTATGTAAAGATTATAAATAGAAAAGTAAAGTCTAGCACAGCCCTTAAAGCAAACCATTGTAGCTGATAAACTCATATCGTGCATTCTTTTTAGTGTATCTAGATTGCTGAAACTTCAAACCCGTGTGTAAAATTTTCTAATGCAGATAGCTTGGTTGGTGCTTTTCTTCTCTGAAAGTGATTTTTAATAAAGTAAGCAGCATTCAAGATTATGTCTAGAATGTGTAATTTCATGAGACTGTAAATGTGAAATAACAGCAAAATAATGGGATGAGATGATGCAGACAATGGATATTGACTCGACTATTAACATAGTGCAAGTTCAGTAATTTTTAGTTTACAGGGTGTTTCTCCATGTCAATATAATAAAATACATAATATTGCCCCAGATATCTGTATGAAATGCAAGATAGCTAGGCCCTCTTTCATGCACATGATATGGGACTGGTGGTAATAAATAAAAAATTGGAAAAACATCCTGAAGGAAATAAAACAAACATTAGCAATAGAATTTGAACAGGACTGAAAGGTTTATATTAGGAGCTGCCCTCTTAAAGAGATTCAAACCAGGAATATATCGAATATAATGCCTTTAAACAACTTTTTGGGAAAAAAGGGAAATGTTAATAACATCATAATATGTAGTCAAGATTCAATATGTTGCTTAATATTGTTAATTCTGTATGAAGATATACTTATCAAGACAATATCATCATAATGTCTTATTGAAAATTACTCAGAATATCAGTAAAGAATTTTTTCCATTCCCAAAAGTAAAGCCTAACATTTTGAACTACAGGTGCCTTCTGTTCTGTTACATAAACAGCACTATAGTATTGCTATCCCATGACCATATAGAAATGCACATCTAGTGGCATGAAGTAATAGCTTAGGTAATATTTCTAATAAAACAAACTTCTTACCCTCTGAAATTAACCTAAAAGCTGCAGCATAAATGAGTTCTCACATTTTGGGTTTTAGGTTAATGCTGGTCCGCTGGCCTATGCTAGAGCTTTCCTGAATGACAATCAGTCCAGCAAATATCCCACTAAGAAGGTGAATGAGTTAAAAGAAATGTTCAGGTAGGTTACTAAGTAATTGAATTAGCCTGCTGGCCATAATGGGCTATATGGTTTTTCTTATATTTTTAATTATCAGAGTTAAGATTTGAAATACTAATTCAAAGATTTTGTACTGTCCTTCTGATTTTGGAAGGAGACTGGTTTCCACTTTCCTGGCCCAAAAGTATCCTGACCATGATGAGCTTACCGAATCCTAGTCAGAACATCTTGCCTCCTCCTAACCCTGAGACCATTGCCCGTCACGCTGACTCATACTGTCTCATTTTTTTATACTTCCCCATCATCGGTCTGCCTGTATCCATCCATGTGTCTCTTGTCTTAGATGGCAGGGACTCTCTCTTCATTCTGGGTTTGTACAGCGTCTAGCACAATGGAATCCTGGTTCATGACTAAGGCACTTGGGGCTACAATAAATACCATAAAATAATGATGATGATAATAATTAATTTATAAATACACCAGTTGCTGCATACTGAAGCTGACTCTGTTTTTAAAACTAGAGCTTTCATGAGCTATCAGGTGCCCAGTCTCAACACCTAGACAAAACTGTTTTTTAGAAGGGGAAATGTCTCGCTAAAAACCAAAGAGTGTGTGTGTGTGTGTGTGTGTGTGTGTGTGTGTGAATTTTCTTAAATTATGCTTCATTTCGTGATCTTTCAAGAGAGACTTTTCTAGGGGGACTGTCAAACTGGAAAGAACTTTAAAATATTTAAATAAATCCATTTACTGTCCACGTGGTTCCATTACTCTCGCTTCCATTGCTACTTTTGCAAAGATATTTGATTTCAAACAAGAATTTGTCTTGCATCTGTCTGTCTGTCTATCAGTCTATCTACCTACCAATCTATCCTGTCATTCTCTCTGTGGTCTTAGAATTGTGCACAACTCTGTGCCTTCCAAGAGATAACTAAATATATTAAATAGCTAACTTCCCGTCCTCCATTCAGTTAGGGCCATTGTAGCTTTTTCCCCACTTTTGTCCTTCCCTCTCTCCTCCTTCCTACTAGTCTGCCTTTGGTATCTAGAATTCCTCCAGGAGCAATGAGGCACGTCCAGCCTGCTCGCCTGCTGCTGCCCCCTTTGCTGGGAGCAGCTGCCTCCCACCCCAGACAGCTGACCAATACACAGGGGGAGCAGGCTGTGGAGTCTTCTTTCCTGTCCCCTTTGGGGCACTGGGCACCCCTGGGAAGTAGTGCCGGACACTTATGCTTGCCACGAAAGAAAGAGGGAAGACATTTTGTACCCCTAACCCTGCTGCGCAATCTTGCGGTCCCGGCAGCTCTATCGCTTTCATAACACAGCCTTTGAAAGTCAGACGCACACGGTTATTTCACCACAGCCTCAGACAGGGGAGAAGCGGTTATGTGAAAGAGAGAACTTAATCCAAGAGTAACAGTAACAGCCGGGAATAGAATACAAACATCCTTTTTTGCTCAGTGCCACTCAAGAGAGAACCTGTGGGTTGCTTTTTGGATTAGCTGTTGCCTTGTGCTTGCCCATGGGGCAAATTTGTAAACAAAGTCGCACACATCCGTTTGTTTTTTGGCTCCAATCTGTAAATGTGAATGAGAAATAATAATGCCCAGGGCCTATTTCTTTCATCCCCAGGAAGTTTATACAGGCCTGTGGACTTGCTCTGGAACTCAATGAGCAGCTCATTAAGGAGGACCAAGTAGAGTACCATGAAGGACTAAAATCAAACTTCAGAGACATGGTGAAAGAGCTTTCCGACATCATCCATGAACAGGCATGTATTAAAGAGACTCCGAAAACTATGCTGAAATATTATCTCTAGTCTGTGAGCACAATGTAGTGAAATCACATTCCATGGGCAACTTAGTGATAGGAAGAATAAAAGAGGGGTCATCTGACTCAAAAATTCTACAGAATCATTTCAGTGGAGGGACTCCCTCCCTCCCTTTTCCCTCCTCCCCCCAGTGGCCAACTCCAGGTCCTCTAGTTGGTGGGAATTTTGATAATACAATGTCTTCAGAAATGGGTCAAGCTGGGTATCATTTGCAAGCCCTTTCTTCCACACACACAGTTGTACCAAACATGGCAAACCCAGAACAATCATATAGCTACCTATTGGAGAAAATGTTGAAAATCAATGTTTTTTTTAATTATACTCTAACACAGGAATGCATTGCTTACATAAACAAGGACATTGATCTCTAGCAATCCTAGGGAAGTTATCCTTGACATGTAGGACTGAAAATATTTATTCATCAAAGTCCTCTCCATCTAGGGCATCACTGCTAGACCCGTTGTCACACTGATTCTCGTCCATATCACACTTGGACTTCTCTGTACAAGGAAGGCTGCTGGCTAAACATTTGCATGGTGGTGAGCACCTGGTTTTTGCACACGAGCATTTTATTAGTTGAAGGATTGATTGGGAAGCACATGGTATTTCACACATGACTAGTGTGATCAGTCCATCCTTCAACACCTCTTCATGCCTGATAGGGGATGGTAGTTTTGGATATGTTTGATCATCCCAGAGCCATTCCATTGCTTGATAATTTGTCCTCTAGACAGCACCCCTTCTCAATGGCAGTTTTGCTTTGTCTGCCTGCCTCTTGGAAAACGTCTACCAATGTAATGTTGGCAAGTGTCGTAATGTTGGTCTTCAAATGGCGAACTTGGCATGTAATCACCTCCAGCGTACTTATGACCTCATCAGTGACTGTCTCAGCTCTTCCAAGCACCTCCAGAGCCAGGACAGAGTCTTTGGAGGCTGAAACAAAAGCCTTCCACTAAGATAATTTGGTCTTTCCAGCCAACCTCCAGTAGTGTCATTCTGAAAGGGCGTGGCGACCTGGCAGAGTGATAGGAACAGGTCTCTGAGGGATACCCTGCGATTCTGCTCCTTAGTAGCAGGCACAAAAACAGAATCTTTTGAAAGTCTTGGGTAGCATCTCTGTGACATATCACGGTGCAATCCAGATCAGTGAGGGGATGTCTCATCATTGCCCTGTAACCTTAGGTGCCTTTACAGTGTCTTGCTGCTGTAGCTCCCACAGCCTTCCAGCATGCCAGCCACCCCCTGTGTGTCTGTGTAGAACTGCAAACTTCCAGCCACATTTGGGTTACTTCTGCAGGGTGACCCCATCATATTCCCAATCGCAGATTTCCCCCCATAAATGTATGTCCTGTGCTGCCCAGCCCTCTCCTGGACAGTTCATATTCCTTAAAGGGAATAATATACAGTAGCTTATTATCTTAAACAGTTACCCAGACACTGTAAGATAAACACAGTGGATTAGGTAAAACAAGTTTATTAACTATAAAGAGAGAGATTTTAAGTGAGTACAAGGAATGTGGCATAAAAGTCAAAATGATTACTAGAAAAATAAAGATAACACTTTCTAGTGCCTAGCTTAACAAACTATATTAGATTCAAAGCAAAATTTCTCATCACATGCTTCCAAGAGTGTTACTGACCAAACTCTTCCAGTCAGGGCCCCTTCCCCAGAGGCCAACTGGGCTGCTTCTTTTGTCTTCTCAGGTGCAAAGAGCGAAATGGACAGGGGGAGAGAGAGGACGAGGTCTCTTGGGGTGTTTGCTCCTCCTTTTTATAATTTCAGTCCTACCCTTGAAAAACATTTCCAGCTGAGAACCAGGAGATGGAGGTCTGATGGAGGAAGGAGACCTCCAGCTGTTTTTTGCTAAATCTCTTTGTCCATGTCCCCTTTTCTTGCCAAAGAATGGCCACTTGATATGTGATGTCCCATCAGCTTTATTACATCTGGCGGGGCATCGGCTTGCCCTTTGTTTTAGAGAAACAGGGTTAGCCCCTCCTTAGACTTATCTGGGAAACACACTTTGGTCATGATGTCAGCTTATGTTCATAACTTTACACCTAATGGTGCTACATGCATTTTACCATGATATTACTGATCAGCAAGTTATGAGTTTTCAAATGATACCTCTCAAGGCATACTTTGTTCAAAGATTATTACAATAGTGTGTAGGGTGTGAGTATGGCGTGCATTCCGTCACAATTGCACAGAGAGCACTAGAACATCTGAGTCTTGTGCAAACATTTGGAGTTCAGTTGCACCTTTCTTTGTGACATTGATGGCATGCAAGATAATTTTAACATCAGCCTCTTCGTGAGAGCTACGAAGAAACTTCACTGAACCATGCATGACAGTAGCTTCGTAATGCCATGTCTCACAATAATGAATGCCTTTGGGCTAACAACAGAAGAAACAGGTGTTCTTCTCTAAACACATACCTTGGGACTTAGTATAAGGCAAGTCTTGCCCACAGCTGGCACTTGTCCCATCAATTTTCCTGTTGCTTGATGTACTTTCTCTCCAACCTTGCCATATTCAGTTTGTGTTCATTTCTTAGAGCATGTAAGGTGCCACAAGCGTTAGGTGTAACCAGATCCTCAGTGGTCTTATCCTCCAAAGATTCGGCTCCTAGTTGGTACTCTTTGTCTCCCCATTGATACCTAAAATGATCAAGACCAAAGTAAAACCAAGGATTTTCTAATAAATTACTTTGGGATTGTATGTAATATAAATTACTTTGGGATTGTTACATAATTATATGCATACTGTTTGCAGATGGATTCTGACATCTTAATCGGTGCCTCATTACAACTCTTTTGGCAAAATAAGCAAATCTGATAATACCACTGACCTGCTTCTTTTTTTCCCCAATGATGGCAAATCAACCTGATGCACTCCTTCCATTTACAGTAATCTGTAACATTAAAAAAATGATTCAGGTGTCATGTTCTGAGCATTAACTGATAACACAGTACTGCCAGTCAAGGGCCAAGGTGTAACTTTGTGAGGGCTGCATGTTTCCCATGCCTGTGGTAAAGTATAATTACAAAAGCATTGGTTTTTTAAAAAACATTTTGTCAAATATCCAGCTCGATAACTATTCTAGTTTTGTCATGTTTGGTACCATTGTGTTGGTGGCAGAAAGGGGAATGATACCCAACTTGACCCACTTCTGATGACATTGTATTACCAAAATTCCCACCAACCAGAGGACTTCAAGCTGGAAGTGGGAGGGTGGGCAGGGCTGCATTAACCAGTAAGCTAATAAGGCAATAGCCTTAGGCCCTCCTATTTTTACGCCCCACTGGTCAGGCAGGGGGCAGAGCCGGGGCGGGTGAGGGGGAGCAAGCTGGCAGAGGAAAGGCAAAGCAGCCCCCTGTGGCTTGGAAGGAGCTCAGCTGGGCTGGCAGCCTGCGTCGCCCTGCGCTGCAGGAACACACTGCCAGGGATCCAGTTAACACTGGTACCGGACACTAAAAATCCGGTTACCACGGGAACCTGTGCCAGCCGTGGGTGTCGTTTGAGCAGGCCTTGCCCCCCCCCTCCCGCTGCACCCAGCTCCTCCCACCCGCAATTTCTCCGGAGCTCTGCTTAGCTGTCAGGGAGGGAAGAGTCTCCCTCTGACCAGCTCCTTGGCTGAGGCTGGCAGGCAGCTCCAGGATGCTGCCTCCTGGGTCCTAGTGCCCATCACTGTCATCTTCTGTGTATGCTGGGTCCCGTTTCTGGACAACTGGTGAGTGCCTGTGGGGGGCAGGGCAAAGGGAGGGGGATGGGAAGGGGAAGAGGCAGTACCAGAGCGGTAGGGTGAGAAGCTTGCACAGAACCTGCACACACTCTATCCAGCTTCAGCCAGAACTATTGCCCCTCCCATGTATAAGGAACGAACGCCCACACATTTGTAGGAAAAACAAAACAAAACATCCTATTCTGGATACCTGTCCTTTAACTTTTACAGAACCTTCCAGCGAGGGGCTTCAGAGGTATGATGCACTGTGTTCAATACTGTATTGAACTGTACTAAAAATCAAAGACATCCAATTTTTTTCCTTGGTGTATTTTTCTGTACTGGGATGCACAGGCAACCAAGTTCTTTCCTTATGCTCAGCCTAGTTCCACAGGTCAACGCAGCTTTGTACTTTTAAGGGGTTGCAAAATCACTGGAGGAAGCTCAACATACAATGTTGTAGGTTTCTTCCTCCCCTCTCCCTCAAGGATTTTAAATCCACTTCTTAGCAGGCTATGATAGAAAGACTGGCTGAATAGGCTAAAGGCAGGTTCTGTCCATTTGCTGGTTGGTTCTCTAGCTGTTCTATCCGTCATAAAAGTACCTCACATTTGATTTCTTTTAAGTTTCATTCCAAAAACTTAAAGCTAAATAAACCTGAAGTTAGTTAGTCCTCATTTTTCTGCTCCAATTCAAACTAACTTCTTTCCCAACTGGAAAATGTTGGGTGAGCCTGGAATGTGATTCGAGACGGGAATGAGAACACAGGCCAATTCCTGCTGACAGCTGCACCTGTGTAGCCTTATTGACTTCAGGAAGAACAGATTTTTGCACAAGAATAGATTTTGGTTCCTTCTGCTTTTTCACATGTGGTATAAGCAGAATCTCATGCACTTTCCTCCCCTAAACTCTGAGCACTTAACGAAAAAAATAAGCAAGGTCTACTTGATTTATACCTGCAAACGAAACAGCAAGCTCTCCCTTCATTCTACACCAGCCTTAAACACCAGACCTGATGTAACAAGGGTGTCACTACAGCAGCCTTGGTTGGACTGTTCTTTTGAAAGCTCCTTACTGGTTTTTTTAAGATGCTGATTTTCAATGAAGTTTTTTTGTTCAGCGGGGCAGAGAACACAACAGGGAATAGCTCTGTTTTGTCAACTCCTAGTCACTCAAAAGCTGAAAGGCTTTAGATTAAGTTTGTTTAATGTTTGTACAGTGATTTTGAAGAGCTAACATAGTACAGAAGTGCTAAATATCATGACTGGGCAGCCATCTAATGATCTGTGTCACTTCTAGCTGTTATCTTTTTCTTACAGAAAGCTTAAAACAATCACATGCAAACCGTAGGGGGCTGGTGCACACAGAACTCATGCTTAGAAAACCTCAGGTCAGAGCTGCTGATCACACATTCTAGAATAGATAATACTGAGTCCTGCCATGAGTGCAGGGGACTGGACTAGATGACCTCTCGAGGTCCCTTCCACTCCTATGATTCTATCTATTATTCTAATTGTGGAAGAGCTTGGTGACAGAATGCCCTGATGCGGTGCATCACTGGAGATTAACTATGCAAACTGGGTATCATCCCACAAATAATATTTGGGTTCAATGTGAAAACAGTAATTCATTATCCTTAGCCAGTGCAACACTGGGAGGCAGCTTTCAGAGCAAGACAGCCTAAAATACAATGCCACCCAATGTCATTTTCCCACTACTACTTCCTCTACTTCAGTGGATTTTACACCTGAGTGGTTTTCTTTTACATAATAAAAGCTGGCTGCCTCCCAGGCTGCAGTCAGAGTGAGATAGGGTGTGTGATGTAGAGGCCATAGCTTGGGGGAAACACCTGCAGGGCTTGGCTTTGCACTGTGCCGGGGAAAGCTGAGGGTAGAAGCACAAGGCTGAAAGAGGTGAGCAGGATGGGGAATGTTGCAGTGTTCATCCTCATAGAGATGAGCACTCCACCACCTAGGAGAAAGGAGACCTAAGAGAAGGACAGCATAGCATCCCTCGTGCTACCTCTTACTCAGAAGTATCTGTTTGAAGAATTGCATGTCGTGAGAGTAGAATAAACTTGTTAATTTTACATAAATTAATATGTAAATATGTATGTAGAGGAACGTTTGATGACTTCATAATTCATAGTTAGGCCCCTCATAACCTTAATCCGGCCCTGGGGGTGGGGTGGGGGTAGCAAGTCCTCCCTGTCATGCTGTAGAGGGTGACACTTTTGAAATTATGATCCTGTAGACTTTTACAAATCAAGTGACACCTCCCTTACTTTCCTATCATTAATTTGCCCACAGAATTACACATGCTCTCAGTCTGCTACCCAAACATGGCTATATTGTGTGTCAAGGACTTAAATGGGATTTTTTCTTTGTGCTTGAAAACAGGCTCAAATTTTTCTTTCATTATTTAATTGCATATGAAAACCCAAGCCCCTGAATATGGAAGCGTGGATGATTCAGTAGATGGAACTCTAACCTCTGAGTTTGTTTTGAGCCTGTGCCTCATTGTGGAGTTGCAGCATACTGTGCTTTAGGGTGCAGCCTTCACAGATGCAAATAACTAGGATCCTAGCCATGTATAGGCATGAAGAACTCTGGCAGTTTTTGCCAGAATACAGTAATAAGTCTTGGCTTGCTGGCAACTTGATTAGTTACATCTTGCCTATATAAATTCCTTCCCTCATTTGTCTGATGTTTTCTGCTTCCTGGCCTAAACAGCAATGTATGTGTTAAACAGCATGTAAAACCCAGGAGGGAATGAAGTGGGTGTGTGGGTGTTATACCATTAGGCCTGGGCTACACTAGCGGGGGGGGGGGTTTCGAACTAAGATACGCAACTTTAGCTACGCTATTCGCATAGGTGAAGTCGAAGTATCTTAGTTCGACTTACCTGGCCGTCCTCATGGCGGCGAGTCAACTGCCGGGGCTCCCCCGTCAACTTGGCTTACTCCTCCTGCCAAGGTGGAGTACGGGCATCGATTCATCATGTCCAGACAAGACGTGATAAATCGATCCCTGATACATCGAACACTACCCGCTGATCTGGCGGGTAGTATAGACGTACCCTTAGATATACCTGCACTGTAATCACACTTTGGGAATCTTCTGGGTGAAAGGTGTTGTACAGATGTAATCTATGATCAATAATATCATAGTGTTAACAGATGCAGAAAAATAACTTGTACCGTCCCCATTAACATGGTATGAAATCTGAGGCCAGTTGGCTCTTCAAACTGATCTCTCTACCTCTGGGATCATATCTTTAATTTATAAAAGAAAGTTAATATAACAAAGCTACAGTTCCAAGTGTCTAAAATGAATAGTTCTGTTTGTACTATGTGTTTCCAAGTGTTTGTAACTTCTGATTGAACAAGATGTTCTCAGAATTTCCTAGTCATGTTATGCACAATAATTTCATCTCTCACAGGTTAGAATACTATATACAGTATAATTTTAAATGAACATGTGAAATCAAAATTATTTTACATTACAATAGTCTGGGGCAGTGGTTCCCAAACTGGGATTCGCGAAATGTTACAGGGGGTTCTCGGGAAAAGATTCCCTAATGGCAGACAGAGCTGTCCCTAGGACCCCTGGCACCATGGGGCCAGCAGCCCAGAGCCCCTGGACTTCCAAGAGCTAAGCAGATCAAAGCAAGCATATCTATCACACTGAGGAGATTTAAACTTCAAGACTCCTTATAAGAAATGGAAAGGGAGGTGGATATTTTTTGCTGTTTTTAAAATTAAATAGGCAGCTAGTATTGTTTTTAAAATTATTATGAAGAACAAGTTTAAGCTTTGTTGTAATGTGCGTTGTTTT